GATAGGAAGAAGTAGATGATGATCCCAAAAAAATATATTTAGACAAAACCCTCATTCGAATGGTGAGGAATCTTTCAACGACATGGTCTGGAGCATGGAATTGAAATGGCGAATAAGAACAAATTCTGGAACGGTTCTTAACAAAAGTAAGAAAAAATTTGATTATTTATCTTTTAGAAAGTAGTCTTCTTTGTAACCAGATTAATATAAATAATAGCACACAATTTACACATAACCATTAGGGAATGAAACAACAATAATTTTTATTTGTTTATTTCTATTTTTATTGTGCTTTTTGTTAATCGTCTTCATGTTTTCTTTTCAATGATGTTCGATGTGTTTCTGGTTTCTCTTCAACCAGTGATGAAGAAGTCGGACTGAAAGAGCGCGTCTCAATTTCCTTGACAAAAAAAAGACAAACATTCATAAAATTAACAACAAAAATTGATCTCCTAAATACCTTTGGTGAATGATAATATGCGATATGGTGCTGCACCGCCATCCATACTTTGTTTTCTTCAAGCAATTTCTTAACTGCTTCAATATCAGGAGCCATAAATCTGTCTGCATCCAGTGACCTTTAAAAATATTTTTCATAAGCAACAACAAACTTGCGAAGATATGAGTTTAAGCAGTTAAAAATAAAAGCAACCTAAACGAAACTCTTTTCCTGGACATAAAACTTTAAATTACTGTAAAGAGAAATACACTATCTCAGACTTACTTCAATCAAATGTCAAATTTTACATGTATTATAGATATGGACTTTAAAAATAAAGAATAAAATGCTTAGAAATCCTTCAACTCCACAAAAATAAACCAAGAAGGAATTTTTAAAACCGAATAGAACTAATTTTAATTCATGAAATTCTGATATATAAATGGGTATTTGATTTTGAATAAGTATTACGATATTAGTACAAAAGAATAAGTTGAACGAATTTACGATTATTGCTATTGAAAAATTCTATGTGTATCAAATAAAAATTATTTGGCAAAAACAATGCACCTGACCTTGCAACTTTCCTAACTGCTAAATAAACTTCTTCTAATGGAGCAGTTGTTCGAAGCGGCCTCAAAAATTCAATTGCTTGGCATGCAGCAAGCAGCTCAATTGCTATCACATTTTCCACATTTTCGACAATATTCAATGCCTTTCTCGCCGAGTAGCATCCCATTGATACGTGATCTTCTTGACCAGCACTGGTACTAAGACTATCCACAGACGATGGATGACACATAACTTTATTTTCGGACACTGAGATATTAAAAAGGAATTGGTTTAATGAAATTCTAGTTTTGATATAGGTGCATAGGTATATTAGAATTCCAAAATTTGCTATTACTTTTCACTGTCATTTAATGGCGACTTGCGCCTTCAAAAGTGAAGAAATTCAACAGTAAGAATAGTTCCAGTTACGCG